CGAATATGAAAATCTAACCTTAATTTAGAAATTACCGGCAATACAAAATCCGGCCACCTAATTGTTAACCTTAGCCGGCATGGGATTGTTACGTCAGACACCGTACAATAAGATAGTTATTGTATGGTATGTTGAATAACTAGTTACACACACAGGTTCATATTTAATCCCGTGCCTTCGGCACGGAATATAACCCCGTGTGTAACTGGGTTATTCATTACATACCCATACAATAACGTTTTAAAAGCTCGGGTAGCATGTGTAACTATACGAATTTGAACGGTCGCTCCTGTTAGGTTATGTAAAAGTTTTGAGTCCATGTTTTGCGGGTCTTCTTTTTCTCCCCAGCTTTTATATTGGTGGAATTATTTTAGAAAGGAATAATTTATGAAAATGGAGAAGGTTCAGGCATATTATTCCATTATTCTGCCTTAAGTGTATTTGGAAACTGATGGTTACATGATATATTGATTGTGAAAAAATTTTGGCTCTCGTATTGTACTTTAATGATATTCAGTTAATTCACAATTCACTTTAATCCAGTAGCTTTTTACAATTTTCAATCATTCGACTGCTCTTGTGACATACGGCATTACCAAAAGCCCCATGCTTGTTTTAAATCACGCAAATTTAAGATATTTTTAGAGGAAAACTATTCCTCAATCACCTTACTACAAAAGTATGATATTGTCAGACGTCTTTCCTATGGATTAAATATAATTCATTCTGAGGGTAAAGTATATCGTTGATCTACATTCTGGTATTACTTTATAAGAATTCAATGCGTTGTTTCATTAATGATCTTGGATTTTGTGGCCTGTTGGGATGCCTATAAATCAAATATATGGTCAACTTCCTTATGTTGCCTCTGAAGTTATCTATGAACGTAAATACACTACAAATTCTGATATTTATAGCTTAGAAATAATTATATGGAAAGTATTTAATGAAAAACTCCTTTTACAAGTTTTCCTCAGGAAGATAAATCTGGACATGGTCTTGAATGCCATATACTTAATGGGGGATGACTTGAATTTACGCATAACATATCACAAGAATGTAAACATATAATAACTCTTATATGATTATATTAGAATGCTGACTCTACCCTAATGTGTGACTGAATGCACACACAGTTTGGAAACGAACCGAACCAAGTTATACGACATATAAAAATCAAAGTAATAAAAGTCAACAGATTATTATTTCTTCGTCTTTTAAATTTTTTAAGCATAAAATTACGTTATTACTAAAAAAAGGGTTGTAAAGCTGATGATAGAACGACTAGTGAAAAAGTCGAAATCCCAACAAGCCGGATATACACTTTTTCAGAAATGCCACAACCAAGAAATGCTGAATTAGGTAATTTCAATATTTGAAAGTTAGAATTTCTCATTACATTTTTTCAGAATGTGACAACCAAGAAATACGATACAGCCAGGGTGGTCCCCAAAGTGCGGATTACAAGTCCGTCAAGCCATTACCGCAGCACATAGATGATCATATAAATGAAATGCTGGAATATGCAAAGACAAAAATTTGGCTTTTACGTATGACTGTATATTACGGCGATTGCGCGGTATATGGTGTGACTATGCGAATAAATGTGCGTAAATTCTTGTCTTTACACAATATAGCATTTCATTACATATATGTATGATGACTTGATGGACTCGTGACCCAATTTGCAACTACTTACTGTAATACAAATTATTACTGAACTTGGTAATTTTTCTTTTTTCTTTTTTTTTTGAATTTCTGCTTGCAGAAGAATTTCTTTAATCTGAGCTTCTGAAATATTTTTCAGATAATTTATAGTAGTTAATAGTTGTGTTTTATCAGTGCACAAATAAATAACGGTCTACACATTTTATAGAATATCCGTATTGTTATTTTCTAAATAAAAAAAAAATTAAATTCCAGTAACACCCATTATTTTCTTAATCTTTACCTCAAAAAGATAGTAATTAGATTGTGATTGAAATATTATCAGTATGTGGTTTTGTAATATCAACCCAAAACTGAAGAATACCATGGCTCATCGTGTTCTTTTGGCATTTCTTTCATCACTTATCGGTGCTTTTTTCGTCACCTTTTCAAATACATACATTTTTGGTCAAACTAAAATAAATTTTTCTATTGGTCAGATTGATGAAAATCAAAACAACGTAAATTACCATAAATTATAAATTTTTCTATTGGTCAGATTTAGCACTTTTCTTGAAATTACATTTTACCTGTTACTATTTAACGCAATCAGAGAATTTTTCATTAAATGTACTCAATAAAATTTGTTACATCGACCAATAAGTCACATGACTTCGCAGACCTGTGGGACTGCAAAATCATATGATCATGTATCAATTTTCGCCATCAAATTAAGCTTGCATATTAGCTTTTAATCATTGTATTAGTGATAAAAAATGTATATAAAAAATGTCAAATGCTAGGAAACATCTTATTTAATGAATATTTTTTTAATTATATTAATAAAAACTATTTATATATACATTAGTTGTGCCAAATATTTAAAATATTCTATAATTTCACTACTTAGCAGATTAATCACATGCCTTATTTCAGCATTCACTAGTGCTAAAATATACACGTGACATATTTGTTTAACATATAGCTATTACAGTATTATATAGTTATGATTATACAGTATCAAAAATGTTGACCCTCTTAATGTTAATATAGAACACCTCATGAATTACCAAGATAGCCACTTCACAATATTTAATATCTATGATGAATAATCTTTATATAATATGGTTTGGTGTCAATTACAGTCATCTCTCTATATAGTTACATCTCATATAATCACTCAAATGTAATCACATTTATGTGTAGGTCAAACTATGATTTATTTTATAAGAAAAAAAACCTCTATATAAGCACAACTCCTTTATAAGCACATTTTGAAAAAAATTTACTATGTGTCCAATTGTGATTGTATAGAAGTACGACCGTATATACATTTAGTGAAGAGACTAACAATATGATTCTTAATTATTGCATTCAAAATTTAAGAAAATTTTTTTTCAATGGATCACGGGCATGCCATTTTAAATGATATTGAAAAAGCTAAAAAAAAAATTGAAAAGATTACATTACATAGTTTTTTTTAGCTTTAACTAAGGATTTTAAAAGTATTGTAGATAGGGTTGTTAATGGAGCGGCATACTCTGGAGCAACTTGGGTTATACTCTAGTTTGAGGTTAGAGTGGGTTGAGATTTTAAGAATTATATAATAACGCGGAGCAAAGCTATTTCTTATAACCCAGGTTGCTCCATATTAGGAATGGTAAAAAAACAGTTTAAAACTGTTTTTTGTATTTTTTAATTAAAACACACAAATGTTTTAAAACATAAGCAGCAAAGTTTGATTAGTTAATTTCTGTGCTGGCCAAGTTCTGTAAAACAATATTTGCTTCAAGAAAATTTTTATACGAAAAAATATTCAATTAAAAATATCATATTTATTGAAAATATTTAAAATGTAAAGAATTTAAACATGTATTTGCATTGTATTTAGTATACAGATTGTGTAATTTTTTATACTAGCGCCAAATTAAAAAATATACTTTATTATTTAAGTACATTGATAATCTTCAAACCAACCATCCTCCTTAATACCTTTTTGAATTCTCAAAGTTTGATAGACAGATACGAGCTTTTTTACTCGATCATTGTCTAAACATGCACGATATTTAGTATGAATATAACCAAAGTTGGACCAACAACGTTCTGCAGAGGCTGAAGAAGCTAGAATCGAGAGAGCTTAGCAGGCAAGCTCAACCACAAGCGGAAATTTATTTGAAAAATTCGATTTCTACTAACTAATTGGACTTGAATGTTCGATGGATTCCCAAAGCAATAATTCAGAGAATTTATCAGTTTTAGCGATGTATTTCTGAATAACTCCATAAATCTTAAAAAAAAAAAAAAAAAAATTAGAATTAAATTTTTTTTTTAATAAATATTATAATATTTACATTTGCTACAATTTGAAATATATAGACTTTTTTAAGATATGGAATAATGATATCCTCAAGATCATTCGGCTTTAATGATTTTTCACGGATTCTAAATATAAATTTAGTATTAATATTAATTAATATTAAATTTTTTTAAATATAGTAAGTAATATATTTACTGAGAGTCTAAAAGATTTGCAATTGCCATTGCAGGATGAAATGCAAAATCAAACTAGTTTTCAATTAAATCAAGAACCTTAAGTTTAAAATCCAAATTAAAGTCACACAAATTAATTGATTCACGAAGTAATTGCCATTCGGATTGGGCATGTGAAAGTAAAGGTTCATCTGATTCGAATATACGTATAAGCTTGACAAACGGTGCTAAGAATGATACCAATCTTTCTAATTCTTTCCACAATAAATCATTTAGTATTTGATTTCTAAGATCATGTGCAATTTTTTTATTAACTTCGGGATGTATAACAGTCATTTGTATTCCCAACCTGCATCGAAAAACAGATTTAATCGCATCTAAACAAGTTCCCCAATGAGTATCTACAGGTTGAACCAAGCTAATCGTATCTGGCTGATTTAACAAGATCGATTCTGCTTTGGGATGTCTCCGAAAAAAACTGATGATTTGCTTTACATTATACATTAATTTGTCTACATAATCTAGTTTAAGTACATCCTTAATTAAAAGATTGCCAATATGTGCATTACAACCTAAACAAACCAATCGCAGATAATCTTTGTTTAGCAATTTCCAAGCAGCTCTCATAGAGCTAGCATTGTCTGTTACAATGGTAGCAAACTTAGAAGGACCGACAAGTTAAATTATATTCTTAAATTCATTATAAATATACTCTGCAGTGTGTAAGTCAGACCCAGTAAATTTTGCATCATAAAAAATAGGTCTCGGAAGACAAAGAATAAAATTTAAAACAGATTCTCTCCGAATATTCGACCATCTATCTGATACTAGCGTAATATTCATTGCTTCTTCTAAGATCCTATCTAAACTTTGCTATTCAATTTGATATTTCGAATCAAGCAGATTGTTAGCCAAGTTGCGTCGATTAGGACTAATATAAAATAGGTCTACAGTTTTAATATAATGATACATAGCTTCCATAAATTCTTCCCAAAAAGGGTTTTCAATATCCGTAAATGGAATACCAGATGAATAAAAGAATTTGGCTAATATACTATCAACGTCAGATTTACTTAATTTCATTTTGTCAGTCTTGAACCTCTAATGAATCTTTTATATTTTTAGAAAGCTTATTACATTTTAATAAGTGCTCTTTTAATCGAGCAATTAAATCAACACAATCTTCTTCGCAGTGATTACACTTTTGGCAAGGTGTCTTTTGGCCTTGTATATCAGTTTCAGTAACTTTTGTTAAGTTCAACTAGATTTCTTTGAAAAGGGGCCTTCCACGAGACATAATGAATAATGAATGATTAATTTTTTAAGATTGATAATTGTAACGATAATAAATATATTTTATATTGATAATTGTAATGATAATAAATATATTTTTTTATTAACTTGCTTCATAATTTTACCATAATAATGATTACGTCAAAATGTTTTAAAATATATTAAAAACTATTTAAACACAGCAATCATGTTTTTTAAGATCACGTTTTAAAATATTTGCCATCTCTAAATATTACCTGATGATTTGCATTAATTACCAGGATGTATCCAATAAGTCTGACGAAGAAAGAACCAGTGAAATGACGAACTAATAGTAATTTTGGAAAAAAATATAAGATTCAGAATATTCAGAGGACATTATAAAGGATCTTATTGAAAGATGGACAACTGCAATTTTATATTTCATTGATCAAATTAATTTCGTCAAGAGTTTTGTCAATCGTTAGTAGTTTCGTCAGGCATCATTAGTGGAGGCATGCTTGTAAACAATAAGAGGGGTATGCTTTGAGTCGAAACATGACCCTCAAGTGTGCCTAAAAGATTTTTCGTGACATATACTCTAGAGATAATCTAGAGAGTGTGTATTTAGTGAGGTCTTAGTATACGCATTTTTTAAAATTTATGAATTTCTTATTATCATATTATTTATTATTTCTATGTTCGGATTACTATGTATACAAATTTTTGATTTGCATTGATTTAATAATTTACAGCACTCTTAAAGAAGAGTGTTTGATTAACTGTGTTATTACAACGAAAGAATCTGACATAATAGAATTTTTGTAATGATATCGAAAAAAAATGGATGTTCATAATGAAAACAACTTCATAACAAAATAGGAGCATGCTTTAACGAAAATAATGTTGTAACAAAAAGAAAATATTTATAGCAAAAAATAATGCATTTAACAGAAACAAAATTTTTATAAAAAAATGTTTATATAAAGTAAAATGTTTTTACGATACAAAAAACTGATCGAAAAAAGGATTTATAACTAAGGAAAAATCTTGTACCGAGAATAAATGCTTAAAATAATATAACGAAAAAGTTGTCATTAGCAGTAAGCCTGACCCTATGAAGGAAAAAAAAACAAAAAGGTTATGTAACCGAAAAAAAAAACAAAAAAAAAGTTATATAACTGAAAATAATATTCTTATAACAAAAAAAATCGAAAAATCATTTGCAATCAAAAAAGAAAAAGAAAAAAAAATGCCTACAAATGAAAATAAATGTTTAAATTAAACATAACAAGCTCGGTAGTAGGCCCTATCCCACATAGTGGGATATTTGAAAATTAAACTAATATAATGATTCCAATAAGTATATATTATCTTTAAAAAAAAAACAGAGTTTGGCACCTTGAAAAAATGACTAATAACACAAGATTATAAAAATCTTGTTTATTATAAACTTCATCTGAAAATGGGAATTTTCAAAGCTAAAGAATTCTTTTATAGGAATTTCATAAGTTGCGTTGTAAGTATTGTTAGGCATTTTTGATTATTACTATCTCTTTGTTTTACAACTAGAGATATGATCTCATTATCTTTTGGGCATCTGAATTAATAGATATTAATTGAAATATGAAAAGGATAACAATGCACAAGGCATAATACAAAAATAAAAACTGGATTTTCAAACAAATAAATTTTCATCTTGATATAAGTTGTCATCAAAAATTATACAAATAAAAATTATAATTTAAAATATATACAAGTTAAAATAAAAGAAATATATAATAAAAGTATGATATTTATGATTCTAAATTTGTTAGAGCTCTCATTCTGTCCTAGGAGTTCAATTTGTCGAATCAACTCTTCATTACATTGAGTTGATTCAATTCTTTTACTCTTGACAAATTGAATCAGATTTAATCTCAAATACTGTTTATCTGTAAGAATAAAATTGAATTCGGATGATTCCACTCTATTTAATGATTTCTTAGTAAAATTATTCATTGATGGAGCTATTAAGATACCAATGGTTTCTATTTTACTGAATCTTGACAATACACTTCAAATTTACGCACTATCTTAGGCCTAATTTTATCACAATCCTTATTGTTATAAAATAAAATAAAAATTTAATATCATAAAATAAATTAAAATTGATTAAATTAGATTATATGCCTTTGGAGTATGTATAGTAATGATCATTAATCAATTTTTTTTATGATTAGTGATAATGACATTAAAAAACACATTAAGAGAAGACTTAATACTAATAAATATATTTTATTTATTAGTTCAAGAGACATCGTAATTTAACTATCACTTATTATAAAAAAAAAATTTTATTAATAATTTCTATCACTAATTATTAAAAAATTTGATTAATGATCATTACTATATCACCTGTTATACCTTGCATTGAACAATTATTGTATATCCTTTCCAGACTTCTATCCAATTGATATCTCTGTCGCCTGGTGCGTGTCTATCAGATTAAACAATATAAAAAAAAATTAAGTATTTATCTTCATTATCATCAAGAATCAAGAAGAACATTCATAATCATATTTGATTAGGCCACGAAGAGCTTTCAATTCTCGATTCATGTATCCTATTCACTACAGCTCTAGAAAAACTCCATAAATAACTTTTTGATAACATGAGAAAAACATTCATAACCATGTTGACCACATGTTTATGGCCACAATGAGCTTTCATTCTTATGATTTACATCTAGTGGCAGTGCAACTTCAGCTGCATAACAACTAAACAATGACTCAGTGAATATTCACTCAAATTTACGTAATTCTATATACATATTCATAAAAATAATTATAATTCTATCTTCAAAACCTTTGCCATTCTTTCCATTCTTTCGCGGCGACTTTTGAGCAATATCAAAGTTAACGTGAGACATTTTTTTTTAAATTAAAAAACTACTACATGCTTAATATCTAAATCATTACCCTTTTTCTTTGCATTATTTTGCTAAAAACAAGTCTCAAGTATGAATAAACAGTAATAGCTAAAAAAGTTGTAGATCTATATAATGATAAGATTAAAAATCAAAGTTACACAAATAATGAGTAAGGGTGAAAATCAAATACAAATTAAGTATAATTCCAGAGAAAGGTAAAATATAAATTCAGGCAAATTTAAAATATAATTTTAGGCAAAATTATAATATCGATATAAATTTAGACAAAATTAAAGATTAATACTAATTTATAGCATTATAAAAAAATATAATAGATATGAAATTAAAAAAAAACTTAAATACTTATAAAGAAATAATTTGGCGGACAAAGATACCTGAAAAAAAATTCATCAATTGCCAACTAAGATGACGCAGCTTTTGTGCTATATTCATAATATATAATAAATATTATTATTAATTTAAAATACCACTAGGGCTAGATCTAATACAGTAATAAATTTGCTAATGTGAATAAGAAAATTTTCTGATCCAAATAATCTTTTAATTTTTAAGTGCAATTATTAATTCACTGGATTTCCACTTTGATCTGTACACTGTTCCGAATCCCCCATCACCATTTCTTAAAAAATAGAGAAATCATTATTCAAATTTTGGCCTAAATTAGGTTTAATGCTCCGTATGCACTAACTATATTTTATTGCATGGACAACCCGTGCTTTTGTCACTTACTTATTGGCACGGGATTGTTACGTCAGATAGAATTAGAAGTAAAATGTAACTTGCACAAATTCTGTGATTTATATAAATGTGCTTATTTAATTAGCCACCGGTATTTAATTATTCCATCTTCCGAAATTTACTAACATTATTGGCTCAAGTCTGTGATATTTTATGATGATTTCTTTAGAATTTTGCAGTATTTTTGTGTATTCTGTGGTAGTCTGTAATGATTAAGGTCAATCAATTTCTGTAGCTAGCTGTTTTTAAGAAAAATTTTGCTGTTTTTTGTAATCAGATCAAATGTGTTGTCGTCAATAGAAATAAGATTGACATTCTAAAAAAGATTAATTCCTTAATTTTCACAGCTCGTAACTCGATGAAATTTAAAGTTATCTTGATGACTTAATATTTAAAAGTAAGCTTAGATCGTAAGCTTTCTTTTGACTATTAAATCATTAAGATAGCTTCAAAATATGAACTGTGAAAGTTAAAGTATTCAGGTAATTCATATGGCTTTATATGTAGCAAGTAATCAATTATTTAATCATTATGTATTTGTACCAGATACAATTAGAAACGAGAAACTGACGAGATAAAACCCAAAATTTTTATGCACGATTTTAACATTTTGATTGATTACAACTTCGAGAACTTTTGGAAAATGAAATTTTGTGATCTGGTCCGAATTATGAAATTTAATTTCTTAATGCCAGTCAAATCCAAAAATTACGAAAAATTGTCATCAAATGACTCAGCATCATCACATGATTAATACGTTTCTTAAAATCGAATCGATTCCCACAGTTGCATCTCTTGCATTTTGATATATTCACTTCCTGTTTCAGGTCTCAAAATCTTGTTTTATATTGCTTGAATATGGTATTATTTAGTATATAAAGAAACCTTTGTGTGAAATTTTCCCAATATGAAAATACTAACTTTAAATACCTTATAATGAACAGACTAAAGAAAAGAATAAAACTTACTAAGAAAACTAAAATGAAAGATGGGGTTGAGGATGGAAATTCAGGAGATATATATGACAAGTTCTTCGGAATTTATGATCTGAGAAAAGTTTTCGCAGTTGAATTTTTTGCATGGCTCCTTGCTCAAGGAATAGAATCAGATTTTAATGACGACCAAAGTACAAATAATTTCTTTCTCAGAGTTGACAAACTACAAAACGATACATGCTGGAGACCATATAAAAAAGAGTTTGAAGAAACTCGCAAGATTATTTTTACTTAATATTTTAATATTTTATCATTATATCAATGATGAATGAATATTAAACCCATCAAATCAACATTGACAAAGTAATTTACAAGCAGGAACAAAGAGCTTTTTTTCTCGTGCTAAGCTGCCCCTACTTAATCTCATTTTTGTCGATGGCAATGTACTGCCAAAATTCACCTGCAGAATTTGTTAAAACTAACATTTACATGTGGGTGATTTTGACTTACGCTTTGTGATTTGATATGCCATTCTTTTAGAAAAAATATATTTCTGAGGATATCTTATTTCTTCAATATAATTGTATTTTATACAAATAATTAATTTTTTTTTTTTTATTGAATTCAAGACGGATAGAAGAAAGGGCAACAGAAATGCACGCATAGCTTATATAAATATGATAAAAAATAGTGATAAAAAGCTTGTGTCCCGTACTTTGGAGTATATTGAAAACCTAGAAAATAAGTTGATACCGATGACAAGCTTTGATAAATCTCTCCGGAAAAGATTTATTACTAATATAAGGGCCATCAGTGTTAGTACTTTATTATTTATTGACCAGTATCAAAATTTTGGTTTAATATTTAGTAATTATAGGATCAAAAAGATGTTTCGAAATGGACACTAATGGATAAAAATAATATTGAAATTGATGTTGTCAAAACAATTTGTCGAAGTATTACTGAGGAAATGATAATGAATCTAGAGTATAATAATCCTTTATTATCATACGTGGCTGATTTTTCAAATCTACCCAAAGAAATCAAAGATGCATTTGATGAGCAAATGCTAATCACAATGACAGCCCCACCAATAAAATTCTATCGAGACATGGATCCTATTTCAGAAAAATATCTTGTAAACTTGTATGAAAACCAACAAGTATGTGAAAAATTATTTCCACAAGTTAGCGATACAAGCTCTTTATTTCTGGAACAGTATTTTCTTTGGAAAGCATGCTGCAAACTGTAAGTGAATAGATAAATAAAAATGAATATTATTATACATTTCATTTTGTATCTTAATTTCAATAATCAGTAAATTTCTTAAAGATTTGAGATGTGGAATAGTAATAATTTTAATAAAGACTTCACGACTACGTTTAATGAAGGTACATGGGAACATTTTGCATTACACCCAATATTTGATATTTTGACTTTAAGTTTAGATAAATGTGTGTTACGCTGGTATGTAAGAATTTGCAATTATTGTAATTATCTAACATATTATAAGCTTCTGTGTTTTCTTTGTGTTTTAGGGGTGAAAGTACATCGAGTGCGTCAAAATATCGGAAGACTGAAAATATAAGATTTGAGATGGAAATACGTGAACATTTAGATCGAATAATGGCACCGTTTCTCACATTTTTACAAGCAAAGAAGGCAGATACCTGGATTGAAATGATGATTGCAAAAAATCTCTATGAGATTGTATTTGCTGAAACATCAGGGTCACTATTTCAAGCTACATGTACAACCAAAAAGGTGTATAATGATAAATGTAAATTAATACACTTTGGGCATGATTCAAAAAATAAGATGCTCGACAAACTTATTGAGAAGAAATGCACATATTTATCTGATTGGAAGAATCTTTGTAATGATATTCGTAAGGCTGAATTGTTATTATTCCAAGCTTATGGTAAGTTAAGCTTTATATGTTTCTCTAGTATCGAATCCTGTCCCTATTAGTTTAATTTTTGACGTTACTAAACACATTTGTTTCAATATTTTAGAAGTGAAGCTCAAAGTTCTTGTCTTAGATTGTCCAGCACACCCTTTTTGTCACGTGAGAGAATTATTTGACTTAGATATTCCATATAAAAAAGTAGCGATAGAAGAATTTAAGATATTTATTCAAGCTTTATGGGCAATCAGATGTGCACTATCTGATATTATTCATGATTATGAAAAAATAGGAGAAAGATTGTTAAAAGATTATAATAAGATTGCTGGTTCAGGTCCGTATGAAGTTAATTGTGGAGTACGAGGCTATCAATCACACCCTTCTCCGTAATGCAAAGCATTTTTTTTTAGCTATCTTAGAAAATGCTTCTTAAATATAATCAACAAAATTACATAATAAAATCTTTCATTACAATAATTCAAAGTTAAATCCAAAGAAACTTCGAATCTTTCAGATAAAAAATATTTTTTTGTCAAACTTGATCGAATACCTCATTAAACTCAGAAAGAAACATTCCGCTTCAGTAACTTTGAACTTTCTGTCACGTGTTTCGATAGAAAGTTCAAACTTAATTTTTAATATTGAATGCATCAAAGAAACGTAGTTTTTGCTCGACTCTTACAGATAAAGTATTCTTAGTTTAATTTAAAAAGATAAAAGATAACATTTTCTTAAAATAAAAATTGATAAGTAAAATTTTAAAGCAGATTCTTTGGATAAACTAAATTGTTTTAAGGATACATAATTAATGATATTGCAATCAAAATTATATCTATAATAAATTTTTTAAAAAAAGTTCTTTTCTACAATGCCTTTAAAATCCTTAGTTAAAGCTAAAAAACCATATGATGTAATCTTTTCAAATTTTTTTTTTAGCTTTTCAATATCATATGAAATGGCATGCCCGTGATCCATTGAAAAAATTTTCTTAAATTTTGAATGCGATAATTAAGATCACCTATTTTTTGTATTGTTAGTCCCTTCACTATACGTATGTACAGCCCTTCACACAGTTGGGCACATAGTAAATTTTTTTCAAAATGTGCTTATAAAGGAGTTGTGCTTATATAGAGGTTTTTTTCTTATAAAATAAATCATAGTTTGGCCTACACATAAATGTGATTACATATGGAGTGATTATATGAGAGGTAACTACATAGAGGGACGACTGTAATTGAAACCAAATCATATTATATAAAGATTATTCATCATAACTTCAAACTTTGTCATGAAAAACGTAACTTTTGTACATCATCCGAGTTATATTTACCAAGGTTACAGTCTACCAGAATTACTAGAATTCAATTTACCAGAATTAAACGAATTAATTCTACCAAAATTATGTCAACCAGAGTTACGATTAACTCTACCAAAATTTTGTTTACTAGAGATAGGATTGTAAAATTACCGTAAGTTACTTGTAAATTACCATGGTAAGTTACTGTAAGTTACCAAAAATATATGTCGTCTAAAGTAGGACCGGAAAACATTGTTATAGGTCTCCACTATAAAAAATTTGGATAAATTAAACCAATTGGATACATCTAAATAAATAGAGGATCAAACATTTTACATTAAACTTTGAATTCAGAATTTCAATCAGTTGTTTAAAGAAAATATAAGTTAAATTTAATGATTGACCGTTAATTAAATCGAACTATATAATAGCTATATGGCAAACATATTTAGCAAAATTTAAAGTTTCTGCTAAGCTATACTCAATCGGGTATTTTGCGACTATTTAGCAAATCCAATTCTGTAATTCAAATGCCTTAAATTCAATTAAAAATAATTAATTCAACTCTGGACGTAATTACTCAATAGTTGATAAGAACTCTTCAGACTTTATTTTTTTGTTTGTTATATGAAATAGTAAAAAATTAGGTATTCTATATTATACTGTACTTTACATGTGGATGAAATTATCGAAAGTCGATCAAAAGCTTTATTAATTGTGATCCAAATGAATCAATTTCTTTTCTATTAAAAATTAACAAGTAATATCGAACAATAGCAATTTACTATTGTGTTGTATTATTTTATAACCGGAGATACGAACAAATTAAAAATTAAAACCTATTCCATTCTCTAGTTATTATATTGCAGTATTCGCCAATGTAAACTTCAATCAATTAGATCGTAGAATATTGTAAGCTTATTATCAATGTTAATTAAAGCTTTTAGATAAATCGACTTATTTTTATTTTACTAAATTTTCAGAAAATGAGAAAAAAGCAGTTGTTAACCAAATCGATCCATCCAATATTTCACTAAAAATTGATAACATCAAGTTATTTTATATTGTTAATACAAATATTCAAATCATTAAAATTTGTTACAAAGCTCCAATATCACATGATTTCACCGACCTATGGGTCTATAGAGTCACATGTTTATAAATCTAACATTTTAACTTTTTGCAATAAATCTCGTTGAATTCGGGAGTCTTATGGCAAGCATTATCACCATTTAAAAGATCTTTGAGAAATCGATTATATTTAATATTTTCAGTTCTGGCTAAATATTTTGAAGTAAGACTAGATTCAACAAGGATATTTGCTGGGCGAATTATGTGAAGCAATATTAATAATCCAATTTTAGGCATTATTCCTCTACGAATTTATAGTAATAAAATTCTGACATGTGTGACAGTATCCAAAGTGATTTAACTGTTTCTTGAAATACTATTTATATGTGCATATGATGTATAATACTGTGATGAATAAATATTTAGGCTATA